TTTTTCTCCTCAACAGCTTGCTTATACCTCTTCTCAGTATCACGGTAGGAAATATTGGCATGAGTTACTCCAGTGACATTGGTCTGCATTTTGGAGCCTTGAGCTGTAGACTTCTGGTATCCGAAGCTTCTGGATATATCTTGCAGGCGCGTCTTTTCTTGCGCAACTTCTTTTCTACATGTATCCAACTCCATTTCGAGTTCTTTTACCCTTCTGCGGCTTGTCGAATTCTCTTTTTCGATATCCTTTAACCTCTTTGTAAGGTTGTCCAAGGTAGTAGCATTACCATTTGGCTGGTTCAACGAAACGCGCTTGTTTGGCAATCGTTTCAATGAAACATCGCCTTTTAGAGGTGTTGCCACAGCCGTAGTAATACCGGTTACGTCGGGGAGATGAACACGAGAAAGAGCAGGGAAAACACGCGTGTTGGTGTTGTTAAAGGCGGCTGCTGGTAACGTGGCTTTGACCTCTTGAGAATAAGGATTCAAGTTGATAGTCGGCAGAGATGGTTTATAGGATTTTTCGTGATCGATTTGTTTGCTAAGCCCTTGGGCCCGCTTTGTGAATTCGCTCCGACCCGAACGTTCCTTGGACGGTGCATTGTACTAACCAGCCGTTAGCAACCAGATCGAAAAAACCATCATAAAGATAGAAAAACGACACTTACACGTGATTCTTCGTTGAGAAACGAGAGATTTGAGCTTCCCTTTAGTAAGTCATCCATCTGTCGGTCAGGGTCGTACTCGAAATCGGCTGGTGAATAAGGACGACCTTTCAAACCAGTTCTAAACGTAACAGCACTGGCATGATGGGCCGCTGTACTCCTCGTCTCCCCTTCTTCGTGGTCCTGGCCGGCATATCGAATGGACAAGTCTGGCGCGTAGTCTTTTGAAAGCAATTGTGGATTCCTTGGAAACTCTAGAGAATATTCAGAGCCCTCCATCCCATCCTCATCTTCGTCGTAAGGTAGAACAAAGCCTGGTCGGTGTTGGCTCGGTTGCTCGTTGCCAAACTCGAGGTTGTTGATTCCATCCTCGGGTTCAAAGGAGATGTTGCTGAATATTTGGTGCTCTAAACGAAGGCGTTCTTGTTCCCTATAATCGCGTGGGATGCCAGTCCATGATGTTGACGCGTTCATTGGGTCGTGAGTGGTAGGAGGTAGAGAGCGGTGGTAAGCCAAACAAACAACACGTGAACCATAAACTCCGCCAAGAACCACCTGGACCCCTGACACTGCGTCATTAATTTCTTTGATCAATTACTGATATCTAACTCACTAGTCCATTTCTGGTTTTTACAACCGACTGCATTGAAAGCCTTCTATCATGGATTGTTATCGATTTATTGCCTTTTGTTATCCAAGGAGCGCCAAGCCCTCCCTATATTCCCACTCAGTGCACGTTTCATACACATTATTAGTCATGAAAGGACACTCGTGTGTTCACTCGGTGAGACGCTTGATGGGGATGAGTCATCATGAGCTCCAAGACTTTCAGCCCTCCTCCTTCAGCGTCAAATTATTGCTCTAACTAAAATGCTTGTCACATTCGTGAGCAATGAATCAATGCACTGGTTCGATATATCACTATCTCTCTACAGATTCGTCATGGGGAATCGACGGATAATTTGATCGCAATTTGGGCAGGTACGCAATCACTAGGAGAATAGGCGACTAAGACCATTGATTATCGTGATGACTTTTCCAGGGTGGAGGGATGCCCCTCTTTCTAATCATGGTAAAGATACGCTCATACCCGAGGCCAGCTTGGTGGATGAGCCCGGCTAATGGATTTTACTCAGGTATGAACCAGGCAATCGCACTAGGCCAACACTGGAAAGATACGCACATCACCGCAGTATATTGCTCGGATCTAAAGCGTGCGCATACCACAGCTCAGCAGCTGGTGGCAGCTCGCTCTCCCAATACAACCGCCTCCCCTTCAAGCACAGACGACAAGGAAGGCACTCAGCTTTCTCCAATAGTGAACCCTCTTCTTCGTGAGCAGAACTTTGGAATAGCAGAGGGGAAACCATGGGCTGCTAGGAATCCCAATACGACAAAAGACCCTAACGAAACGGAAGAGGAGGTCTATTATACTATCTATAATCGCCACGAGAAATTTCCCGATGGGGAGTCGCTAGACGATCTTGCAGATCGGGCAGAAAAGGCTTTGGACCAAACCGTCTGGTCGCATGTCCAAGAAGCCCTGAAATCGGGTGGACACGAGAACATTCACATTGTCGTGGTTAGTCATGGCCTAGCTATCTCGGAACTTGTGGCTGCCTGTAAGTTTACCTCCGTATGTTTCTTTTCGTTTCTCAATACTGACGAGCTTTTATGGCTAGTGCTCCGACGAAGCCCTGTTCCAGCCCTCTCTGGCAAGTCATACAGCGGCCTCGTTAATACTGGTTGGACGCAGCTGCAAATAGATATTGAACCATTCTCACCTGATCAACCTGAGGAACGAGTTGTTACGAGAATATTCACAAAATCTGTCAATAACTCCCCTCATCTAATCAATGTGGTGAGCAAACCGTTTCTGGTTCATAATTCTGAAATCGAATCAATACATTGATGTAGAAGAGACAAAGAGGAGGTATCGGAAGTGCTGCCCATGACGAGACGCAAAAAAGTATTCGAGACTATTTTGGGGGCAAAGCAACCCCAACCTCGGAGCAGACAACCGAAAACAATACATCGAATCTTTAGTGAATGGACCCCACAATTTTGATCGCACTTCACTTGCTATAAAG